CCTCCCAAAGTGCTGTGATTACAGATGTGAGCCACCGCACCCGGCCCAAAGCCATTATGAAGCTTTTCTTTCTTCCTTGATGCCATTTGACTGTCTTTGTCTAACAGTATTGGCTATGGAGGCAGACCATCTGAGTTCAAATCCCAGCTGTCCTGTTTACCAGCTGTGTGACTGCGGGCCAGTTACCTAACCTCACTGTACTTCAGTATCCCCCATCTGCAAAATGGAAATCATATGATCTACCAGAGGGTAGGAAGATTCAAATGAATGAGTTTATAAACTTGCTTGAAAAGTGCTTGACTGTTACAGGCGTTAAATAAACAAGCAATTATGATTCAGCCCCAACTCCCAAAGTCAGCAGAAATTCTCATAAATGAGGACATCAGCAGAGCAAGGCAATCAAGCCTGGAGGTCAGGGGGATGATGGTTCCAGGAACTAGGGGCACTGCCTGCCCATCCCTGCCCTAGGTGGAGGGGCATAACCAAGTCGCTTTTCATGCAAACTTACTGGATTTCATTAAAAGCATCGCACAGCTCAGTGATGCCATGAGTGGACAAATCCTTCTCCCTGTCAATCTCAGACCATCCCCCCCCCAGCTCCTTGAAATTTCTGCAAGTCAGGGCCATCTCATGCTCTGCCCCCTCCCACTTGGCTTTCGGGTGTTACATCCCTCCCCAGTTTCCTGTTTTTCTTCCTCCAGAAGAAGAGATTTAGGGAGTGAGGATCATGAGATGGGAAATAAGAGCTGTGGTCCCCAGAAGTTCTGGACATTGAGGGACAGTCGGGAAACATGAGTGACTCCAAGGAACCAAGGGCACAGCCACTGGGCCTCTTGGGTGAGGCTGAGTTGGGACTCTGGGGTCCTGGGTTGGGGAAGGGGAGGGCCAGCCCTGGCCTCAGCCTGTTCAGGCTCTGAGTTCTTGTTTATCCATTCAGAAGAGGAAGAGCTGATAACCAGCGGTATGAATTTTTTTCCAAGAGACTTTGGATTCCGACAGACTCGAGGCTACAAGAGCTTAGCAGGTAGAGAAGAGTTAGTTGGAAGAGAGGAGGACGTAGAGCCTCCCAGGCCCCTGAGTCCCGGGGAGCTGGTGGCTGGAGCCTGGATTCCTGGAACCTGGGGAGGTGGAGGCTGGGGCCTGGGGGCCTGGGTCCTGGAGAACTGGTGGCTGGGGCCTGGACTTCTAGGACATGAGGAGGTAGGGGCTCGGTCTTGGGGAGGTAGGGGCTGAGGCTTGGATTCCTGGGACCTGGGGTGGAAGGAGCTGGAGCCTGGACTCCTGGGTCCTACAGAGGCAGGGGCTGGGGCCTGGACTACTGAGACTTGAAGAGGTGGAGGCTGGGGGCTGGGTTTCGGGGTCCTGGGAAGGTGGGGGTTATGGGCTAGGTCTTGGGGAGATGGGGTCTGGGGGCTTGAACTCCTTTGTCCGAGGGAGGTGGAGGCTGGAGTCTGGACTCCTGGGACATGGAGAGATGGGAGCTGGGGCCTGGGTTCCTGGGTCCTGGGGAGGTGAGGGCTGGGGTCTGGACTCCTGAATCCCGAGGAGGTGGGAGGAGGATCCTGGACTCCTGGGTCCTAAGGAGGCGGGGGCTGAGGCCTGGACTACTGAGACCGTAGCCTTAAGGTAGAGGCTGGGGCCTGGGTTCCTGGGTCTTGCGGAGGTGGGGGCTGGGGCCTGGGTTCCTGGGTCCGTGGGAGGTGGAGGCTGTGGCCTGGGTTCCTGGGTCTTGCAGAGGTGGGGGCTGGGGCCTGGGTTCCTGGGTCTTGTGGAGGTGGGGGCTGGGGCCTGGGTTCCTGGGTCCTGGGGAGGTGGGGGCTGGGGCCTGGGTTCCTGGGTCCT